ACGGGGCAGGGGGAGCAACAGCGTCCCCGTACGGGGTGCAACAGCGTCACGGGACGGGGGAGCAACACGTCAGGGCAGGGTACAACAGCGTCACGGGACAGGGAAAGAACAGCGTCCGGGACAGGGGTAGCAACAGCTTACGGGACAGGGGGTGAAACAGCTCACGGGGACAGGAGCGGGAAAAAACGCACGGGACAGGGAGAAAACAGCGCACGGGCCGGGGGGAGCAACAGCGCAGGGGACAGGGGTCACTCTAAAAAACATCAACGGTAAATTCTTTGCCGGTAAAAAATTTTTTGGTGTCAGTCTCTAAAGGGGGAAAACCTTTTTCAAGAAGAAATTTTTCTTTCCATTTTTAAAAATAGATTTACGGGACAATTTAATGACTTTTATTTGAGTTTTTTGCGATGGGGGGAAGAGAGGGTTTTATTTTTGGGGGATGATTGTGGGGATATTGTTGGGGATGATTTTTTTGGGAATGATTTTTTGGGATGTTGTTTGGGGATGATTTTTGAGGGGGATGTTGGGGGGGGATATTGTTGGGGATGATTGGGGTTGGGGGATGTTTGTTGGGGTGATTTTTGGGGGAGATTGTTGGGGATGATTGTTGGGGATGATTGTTGGGGACGATTGTTGGGGGATGATTGTTGGGGGATGATTGTTGGGATGATTGTTGGGGGATGATTGTTGGGGATGATTGTTGGGGATGATTGTTGGGGATGATTGTTGGGGATGATTGTTGGGGATGATTGTTGGGGATGATTGTTGGGGATGATTGTTGGGGATGATTGTTTGGGCTGATTGTTTGGGTATGATTGCTGGGTTTATGATTGTTGGGGGATCATTGTTGGGGATGATTATTGGGGATCATTGTTGGGGGATCACTGTTGGGGATGATTGTTGGGGATGATTGTTGGGGATGATTGTTGGGGATGATTGTTGGGGATGATTGTTTGAGATGATTGTTGGGGAGGATTGTTGGGGATGATTGTTGGGGATGATTGTTTGGGATGATTGTTGGGATGATTGTTGGGATGATTGTTGGGGATGATTGTTTGGGATGATTGTTGGGGATGATTGTTGGGGATGATTGTTTGGGATGATTGTTGGGGATGATTCTTGGGGATGATTCTTGGGGATGATTCTTGGGGATGATTGTTGGGGGATGATTGTTGGAATGATTGTTGGGGATGATTGTTGGGGATGATTGTTGGGGATGATTGTTGGGGATGATTGTTGAGGGATGATCGTTGGGGGATGATTGTTGGGGATGATTGTTGGGGATGATTGTTGGGAATGATTGTTGGGGATGATTGTTGGGGATGATTGTTGGGGATGATTGTTTGGGGATGATTGTTGGGGGATGGTTTGTTGGGGATGATTGTTGGGGGATGATTGTTTGAGATGATTGTTGGGAATGATTGTTGGGGGATGATTGTTGGGGATGATTTTTGGGAATGATTGTTGGGGGATAATTGTTGGGAATGATTACTGGGGATCATTGTTGGGGATAATTGTTGGGGGATGATTGTTGGGGATGATTGTTGTGGATGATTGTTGGGAATGATTGTTGGGGATAATTGTTGGGGAAAATTGTCGGGGTATGATTACTAGGGGTGTGATTGTTGGGGGATGATTGTTTTGGATATGATTGCTGGGGGTATGATTGTTGGGGATGATTGTTTGGGGCTGATTGTTTGGTATGATTGCTGGGGGTATGATTGTTGGGGGATCATTGTTGGGAATGATTATTGGGGATCATTGTTGGGGATCACTGTTGGGGATCATTGTTGGGGTATGATTGCTGTGGGTATGATTGTTGGGGATGATTGTTGGGGTATGATTGTTGTGGGTATGATTGTTGGGATGATTGTTGGGGTGGGGAGAGGATTGTTGAGGTAGGGAGAGGATTGTAGGGGGCGGGGTTACATGGAGTCGTTACCGGAGGGGGTCACCGCCCCCGCCACCCGGTCACAGACCAGGCTTCCTGCCTAGTTGGTCAAGCTGCTAGACCATAACCAAGAAGGAACACTGCAGCAGGCCTACTGGCCTAGTATGGACCTACACTAGGCCAGTAGGCCTAGTATTTGCTCAACCCGTTTCACTGCTACCGAAAATAAGCTTAGATAACCCCATTAACTCCTGTGCAAATCCCACTCAAATCCAACCCTCTCACTCAGGTACATATCTGACCTGATAAATTAGACACATGTGCAACACTTGCGTATCTTTATTGAGGAAACGTTTCGCCCTACAGTGACTTCATCAGTCCTATAAAAAGAAGAATGGTGAGAATCCGGAGTGTGAGTTAATCAGTCCCTCAACTGAGGTCTGGAGTCACTCACTGAGACTCTGGAGTAACTAACTGAGGTCTGGAGTCACTCACTGAGACTCTGGAGTAACTAACTGAGGTCTGGAGTCACTCACTGAGACTCTAGAGTAACTAACTGAGGCTCTGGAGTCACTATCAGACACTTAAAGGACACAGTATCTCCCTCATATAACACAATATGTGATACATTTAAGTTTTCACAAGTCGCTGGTATATACACAAGTCGCTGGTATATACACAAGTCGCTGGTATATACACAAGTCGCTGGTATATACACAAGTCGCTGGTATATACACCAGAAACTAGATGGAGCGTATACAGTCATACATAAAGGTATATTTTTCAGAGAATATACACCGGGAGGCGCATATTTCCGTGTATATACACTCGACAGATGTGTGTGTGTGTGTGTGTGTGTGTGTGTGTGTGTGTTCACCTAATTGTACTCACCTAATTGTAGTTGCAGGGGTCGACACTCAGCTCCTGACCCCGCCTCTTCACTGAACGCTACTAGATCCTCTCTATCTCTGCTCCATAAGCTTTATCATACCTCGTCTTAAAGCTATGTATGGCTCCTGCCTCCACTACATCGCTCGCCAGACTGTTCCACTTCCTGACCACTCTGTGACTGAAGAAATGCTTCCTAACATCCCTGTGACTCATCTGAGTCTTCAACTTCCAAGAGTGACCCTTTATTTCTGTGTCCCCTCTCTGGAACATCTTGTCTCTGTCCACCTTGTCTATTCCACGCAGCATTTTGCATGTCGTTATCATGTCTCCCCTGACCCTCCTGTCCTCCAGTGTCGTCAGGCCGATTTCCCTCAACCTTTCTTCGTAGGACATTCCCCTTAGCTCTGGAACTAACCTTGTCGCAAACCTTAGCATTTTCTTTAATTTATTAACGTGCTTGACCCGGTGCGGTTTCCAAACTGGTGCTGCATACTCCAGTATGGGCCTGACGTGCACGGTGTACAGTGTCTTGAAAGATTCCTTACTTAGGTATCGGAATGCTAACCTCACTCAGGTTTGCCAGGCGCCCGTATGCTGCAGCCGTTATCTGGTTGATGTGTGCTTCCGGAGATACGCTCGGTGTTATACTCACGCCAAGATCTTTCTCCTTGAGCGACGTTTGCAGTCGTTGGTCACCTAGTCTATACTCTGTCTGCGGTCTTCTTTGCCCTTCTCCGATCTTCATGACTTTGCGTTTGGCAGGGTTGAATTCGAGAAGCCAGTTGCTGGACCAGGTGTCCAGCCTGTCCAGGTCTCTTTAAAGGCCTGCCAGATCCTGATCCTCACCTGATTTAATTCTCCTCATTAACTTCACATCATCTGATGCGTGTGTGTGTGCGTGTGTGTGTGTGTGTGTATGTGTGTGTGTGTGTGTGTGTGTGTGTGTGTGTGTGTGTGTGTGTGTGTGTGTGTGTGTGTGTGTGTGAGTGTGTGTGTGTGTGTGTGTGTGTGTGTGTGTGTGTGTGTGTGTGTGTGTGTGAGTGTGTGTGTGTAATTGTGTGTGAGTGTGTGTGTGTTTGTGTGTGTGTGTATGTATGTGTGTGTGTGTTTCTCAGTGTATATACATCGAGAGGTATATGTATGTGTGTGCTTCTCACGTACATACACGAGGTGTGTGTGTGCATATATATGATGTATTGCAGAGGTGTTGACTGGTGGTGAAGAGGTGACCTGCAGTCTTAATGACCCTCGCTCTGTCAATACTCCTTTAACCTGACAAACCTCGCCTAGCAAGCCAAACTAACAAACCAAACTAATAAACGGAACTAGCAAGCCAAACTAACAAACCAAACTAATAAACGGAACTAGCAAGTCAAACTAACAAACCAAACAAACAAACGGAACTAGCAAGCCAAACTAACAAACCAAACTAACAAACAGAACTAGCTAGCAAAACAAACAAACGGAACTAGCAAACCTCGTTAAAAGATCTCACTAACAAATCTAACAAAGCTAACACTAACAACTAGCATCATCCCAACTTGAAACTAACATTCCCTCGATAACAACTGCGGCCCAAAAATTGCAGGTGTATGCAATTTCCTTGTCAAATATACAATTTGACAAGAAAATGACCCGCTGTTTATGTTTCCGCAAAAATCGCATGATTTAAGACGTGTGTAACAGCCTCACCGGTGGATCAAAGATTCCTAATCATTCTCATATATTTTTGAGAGAGATTGGAATGCATAACACATTTACGTTGTTGATCGTGTCCCTCTGGCACACATATCTTTAATCTGACATCCACTGTTATCTCAGCAGATTACGTGATGTGAATAGACAGTAGATGTAATAGGTTATTAATGTAAATAGTGAGAAAAGATTTTCGGGAAGTGTTTAAGGCCGTCTCAGATATGTAATTAATTTTTTTAATGTTTTTCTTGAAGACGAACAGATAAAGAAAATGAACAGGGAAGGGGTGGAGGTTAAGACGCAGGAGGGAAAGAGGAGACAGGGAAGAAAGAGGAGGAAAAAAGGGATGTCTGGTAATGTGGAAAGACACGAGAAATAATGGAAATAGGGCAATTGTCATAGATGTGGCAGACAGCATACGTAATCCCTTCCTTGAAGGGATTACGTATGCTGTCTGCCACATTAAGGTGTAGATAGCCATTATTGACACACTGTGTATGTCAGCACAGATGATGAGAATAAGATGGGCGAAGCACTTTTAGAAGCCTGGTTAATGTTGTCTCAGAAAGACGTGAGGTATGATACAGAAAAACAGGTAGACTGCATATTCTTGAACTCCAAAAAGACATTTGACTTTATTACGCTCAGTAGAATAGGACAGAGCGTCGAGGAACAGGCAGGAGATGCAATGACTGTCCGTAAACTGGCATCAGAATGGGAGAATTGTAAAGAGTGGGGCTCAGCAAGGCCCGATGCTAGGACCGGTTCTCTTTCTGGTATGTGTGAACAACATGCCGGAAGATAGAGCCAGATGATGTGAGATTAATGAGGAGAATAAAAAATTCTAAGAGGACAAGGAAAAATATGGACCAGGACAGACTTCCAGATTGGTCAGATAAGTAGCTTTTGAAATTCGAAAAATGAAAATGGCAAGTGTTATGGAAATTTACACAACCCGTACATAGAAGAAAGGAATTTATGACGACGTTAAGGTCCGACTTGGACCAATAACTGATCAGACTAATGGTCCAAGTAGGACCGAAACGTCGGGTTATTTGCGTATTGTTCCAGTCACGGTATTGTTCCAGTCACGGTATTGTTCCAGTCACGGTATTGTTCCAGTCACGGTATTGTTCCAGTCACGGTATTGTTCCAGTCACGGTATTGTTCCAGTCACGGTATTGTTCCAGTCACGGTATTGTTCCAGTCACGGTATTGTTCCAGTCACGGTATTGTTCCAGTCACGGTATTGTTCCAGTCACGGTATTGTTCCAGTAACGGTATTGTTCCAGTCACGGTATTGTTCCAGTCACGGTATTGTTCCAGTCACGGTATTGTTCCAGTCACGGTATTGTTCCAGTAACGGTATTGTTCCAGTCACGGTATTGTTCCAGTCACGGTATTGTTCCAGTCACGGTATTGTTCCAGTCACGGTATTGTTCCAGTCACGGTATTGTTCCAGTCACGGTATTGTTCCAGTAACGGTATTGTTCCAGTCACGGTATTGTTCCAGTCACGGTATTGTTCCAGTAACGGTATTGTTCCAGTCACGGTATTGTTCCAGTCACGGTATTGTTCCAGTCACGGTATTGTTCCAGTAACGGTATTGTTCCAGTCACGGTATTGTGCCTTTTTATTCCTGATGGAAATTTAAAAAGGAGAAAGATGACCGGATGTTGGGCACAGTCTCTTGGGACACTGGCTGAAAACTTCACCAGTGAAGCTACCATAGCGCCAAGCACAGTGCCAGGCACAGTGCCAGGGACACACACCAACTGAGACCCCTACAGCGAATGTTCATTGCAGAAATCTCAACAAAGCGTCAGTCACGACCCTTCAGAGGACAGATGAAGGCTTATCTTCGAGTACGTATCACCAGCACGACGCCCACACCTGCTGGAAAACACGAACAGATTCAAAAGGATAATAGTCCCGGAGACAAGGAAAAAGAAACTGCAAATAGGTAATTAAGACACATCTACGACAGTTGGATATCATTATTGCAGAAACGTGTCGACTACACAGCAGGCTCCTTCAGTTAAATACAGAGGCAGCAGGTGTAGTAGTGAAATGAAGATATAATCAGTCCATCGACCACCATAATGCTGAACTCTTCTCCAGGCTGAGGGACTGACCACCTCATATCACCAAGGATGATGGAATGACTCTGTATTTGACTGAAGAACTCTACTGTGTAGGCGAAACGTTTTAACAATAAAGATCCCCAAGTGTTGTACGTATGTCTTAATCATCATCACGTCGGTATTTATACCATTTTTTCAAAGAAACTGAAGAAAATGAGTCTGACGACATGCAAGGACAGGAGAGACATGAAAGTGACATGACTCAGATGATTTGACTAATGAAATCGTAACAACACTTTTGCGAGCAAACCACGGAACGGGTGGATTTTGAATCCATGGCTAGAGAGACGTAAAACTTTAGCTAATCCACTGGTTAACGCACTGGCCTGGAGTTGTTACGACTCACTCGCCATGGGTTCAAACCCCACCTGTTCCCTGGTTTGTTTACTTAGAAGACTTGATAAAGAAGAGTGGCAGATATTGCTAGAGAGGCAGAAACGAGGTATACGAAGCCACAGGGATGTCAGGAAGTTATTCTTTAGCCTCAGAGTAGTAAGATGGATGATCAGAATGAGGAAGTACTGGAGGGAGACTGCAGGTATAACTTGAACGTGTGGTATACCTGGGATAACGGGGGGAAAGAGAATGATCCTTAGACACGACCTATTATGAGACGAGGCCAGGAGCTAGGACTCGACCACAGACAACCACAATAGTTAAGAACTAGTTTTTTTCAGGAAGGTACAAAAGATTTCGTGGTTAAACACTGTAAATTGTACTAAACTATATATATTTCAGTCGAGGTTAAGTTAAGTAAGGTTAAGTTATGTTAGGTTAGGTTAAGTTAGGTTAGGTTAGGTTAGGTTAGGTTAAGTTAAGTTCGGTTAGGTTAGGTTAGGTTAGGTTAAGTTAGTTTAGGTTAGGTTAAGTTCGGTTAGGTTAGGTTAAGTTAGGTTAGGTTAGGTTAGGTTAGGTTAAGTTAGTTTAGGTTAGGTTAAGTTAGGTTAGGTTAGGTTAAGTTAGTTTAGGTTAGGTTAAGTTAGGTTAGGTTAGGTTAAGTTAGTTTAGCTTAGGTTAAGTTAGGTTAGGTTAGGTTAAGTTAGGTTAGGTTAGGTTAGGTTAGGTTAAGTTAGTTTAGGTTAGGTTAAGTTCGGTTAGGTTAGGTTAAGTTAGGTTAGGTTAGGTTAGGTTAAGTTAGGTTAGGTTAGGTTAGGTTAGGTTAGGTTAGGTTAGGTTAGGTTAGGTTAGGTTAAGTTAGGTTAGGTTAGGTTAGGTTAGGTTAGGTTAGGTTAGGTTAGGTTAGGTTAGGTTAGGTTAAGTTAGGTTAGGTTAGGTTAGGTTAGGTTAGGTTAAGTTAGGTTAGGTTAGGTTAGGTTAGGTTAAGTTAGGTTAGGTTAGGTTAGGTTAGGTTAAGTTAGGTTAGGTTAGGTTAAGTTAGGTGAGGTTAGGTTAAGTTAGGTTAGGTTAGGTTAGGTTAGGTTAGGTTAAGTTAGGTTAGGTTAGGTTAGGTTAGGTTAAGTTAGGTTAGGTTAGGTTAGGTTAGGTTAAGTTAGGTTAGGTTAGGTTAAGTTAGGTGAGGTTAGGTTAAGTTAGGTGAGGTTAAGTCAGGTTTGTCAATAAACAGGACAAGGTTTCCTAACACTGGAACTTTTGGTCATCTGACGGAGACCTTCCACTGGCTTACCCCTCCATCCTTTTAAAAAAATATTATTATTATTATTATTATTACAACCATTTTTGATCTAAAATTCGTTAGAGGCTCTCATATTCAATTAAAAAAACTGAAGTAACATCCAGCATCCCTTTATCCCTGCATCCCTCTATCCCAGCATTCCTTTATCCCAGCATCCCTCTATCCCAGCATCCCTTTATCCCAGCATCCCTGTATCCCAGCATCCCTTTATCCCAGCATCCCTCTATCCCAGCATCCCTTTATCCAGCATCCCTTATCCCAGCATCCCTTTATCCCAGCATCCCTCTATCCCAGCATTCCTTTATCCCAGCATCCCTCTATCCCAGCATCCCTTTATCCCAGCATCCCTGTATCCCAGCATCCTTTATCCCTAGCATCCCTCTATCCCAGCATCCCTTTATCCCAGTATCCCTGTATCCCAGCATCCCTGTATCCCAGCATCCCTGTATCCCAGCATCCCTGTATCCCAGCATCCCTTTATCCCAGCATCCCTCTATCCCAGCATTCCTTTATCCCAGCATCCCTGTATCCCAGCATCCCTTTATCCCAGCATCCCTCTATCCCAGCATCCCTTTTACCCCAGCATCCCTGTATCCAGCATCCCTGTATCCCAGCATCCTCTATCCCAGCATCCCTTTATCCCAGTATCCCTGTATCCCAGCATCCCTGTATCCCAGCATCCCTGTATCCCAGCATCCCTGTATCCCAGCATCCCTTTATCCCAGCATCCCTCTATCCCAGCATCCCTTTATCCCAGTATCCCTGTATCCCAGCATCCCTGTATCCCAGCATCCCTGTATCCCAGCATCCCTGTATCCCAGCATCCCTGTATCCCAGTAACCCTGTATCCCAGCATCCCTGTATCCCAGAATCCTTGTATCCCAGCATCCCTGTATCCCAGCATCCCTGTATCTCAGTATCCCTGTATCTCAGCATCCCTGTATCCCAACATCCCTGTATCCCAGTATCTCTGTATCCCAGCATCCCTGTATCCCAGCATCCCTGTATCCCAGCATCCCTGTATCTCAGTATCCCTGTATCTCAGTATCCCTGCATCCCAGCATCCCTGTATCCCAGCATTCCTGTATCCCAGCATCCCTGTATCCCAGCACCCCTGTATCCCAGCATCCCTGTATCCCAGCATCCCTGTATCCCAGCATCCCTGCATTCCAGCATCCCTGTATCCCAGCATCCCTGTATCCCAGTAACCCTGTATCCCAGCATCCCTGTATCCCAGAATCCTTGTATCCCAGCATCCCTGTATCCCAGCATCCCTGTATCTCAGTATCCCTGTATCTCAGCATCCCTGTATCCCAACATCCCTGTATCCCAGTATCTCTGTATCCCAGCATCCCTGTATCCCAGCATCCCTGTATCCCAGCATCCCTGTATCTCAGTATCCCTGTATCTCAGTATCCCTGCATCCCAGCATCCCTGTATCCCAGCATTCCTGTATCCCAGCATCCCTGTATCCCAGCACCCCTGTATCCCAGCATCCCTGTATCCCAGCATCCCTGTATCCCAGCATCCCTGCATTCCAGCATCCCTGTATCCCAGCATCCCTGCATCCCAGCATCCCTGTATCTCAGTATCCCTGTATCCCAGCATCCCTGTATCCCAGCATCCCTGTATCCCAACATCCCTGTATCCCAGCATCCCTGTATCCCTCACGCCAGAGGACAGTGATACAGCGTCCCACATCCTGTGTACATTATATTCTCACAATTCCTCATCCTCTCAGGGACCAACAATAACAGTGATCGTTATCACCCAAATTCTCCATTTAACAGGTAACAATTTGGGAAACTCCTGACGGTGCTACGTCTGGTAAACTGTCGTAAACTGTCAGCCTTCACGAAGAGTTTCCGCCTGGCGGCGTTGATCACCGCCTGATATCCCACAATGGAGAAGTAATAACTAGGTAATTGCCTTTTTTTTTCAACGCTGGGACGGTCTGAAAAACTTTTATTGTCGTGTTTGCAACAACGTGGTGCGTTGAGTCGTATTGCACGAGCAACAGTCCAACAAAATCCTCATTCTGGGGAAGATTTAGCAGTGAGTCGCTGCTCTGCCTTGTACCTCCAAAATTAATAATACGAAATCGTATTGACGGACGATAATGAGATAATAATCCATAATTTCTGTCATATTTTCCTTTTTTCTTCGTGATGCGAAGAATTTACAGGCTTTCAGAAGGAATTTTGTACTCCATATTACTGTATTTTAGAGATAAATGGCTCACAGAAGGTATTTTGTACTCTGTATTACTGTATTTTAGAGATAAATGGCTCACAGAAGATATTTTGTACTCTGTATTACTGTATTTTAGAGATAAATGGCTCACAGAAGGCATTTTGTACTCTGTATTACTGTATTTTAGACATAAATGGCTTACAGAAGATATTTTGTACTCTATATTACTGTATTTTAGACCTTAATGTGGCTCGTTCAACGTTACTGTCACTATTTTTTTAGGCAGTTCAGTTTACAAGCCGAGAGAGTCTTGTAAGGTAAACTGCGTCCAGTTTACAAGCGTTCAGGTCAGTTGAGAGGTCAGGTCTGTGTAATGTGCGCCGCTACCCCGCCCCCAGGATGCTGCACACGACTGCTAACTAACACTCAGGTACCTAGTTACTGCCAGGTGAAAAAGCAAGCAGCGACAGGTGTAAGGAGACTTGGTAATACGTCTCACCTTGGAGGATATCGAACCTCGGTCCTCATAGGTTGTGATCCGAATGACCTACCACTGATTATTGTTATTATTATTGTATTTATTATTATTATTATTATTATTATTTATTATTATTATTATTATTATTATATTATTATTATTATTATTATCATTATTACACACACACACACACTCACACACACACACACACACACACACACACTCACGCACACATACACACACACACACACACACACACACACACACACGCACACACACACACACACACACACACACACACACATACACACATACACACACACACACACACACACACACACACACACATACATAAACACACAAACACACACACACACACACACACCTGACAAACCTGTTCGGCAGGTGTCGTTAGACAGCTGAACCATTACGTCACAGTAGAAGGTGTGGGAGGGAGAGTGGGAGGGCAGAGGGGGAGGGGGAGTAGGAGAGGGTGGAGGAGGAGGAGGGGGAGG